AGGCCCCGTAACGTTTTTTCATAGGTTTTAATGTTTTTGCATTTCAAAATCTACTTACACGATGTGATAACTAACATAAGCATGAAAAGGTTTACATTGCCAAACAATTGTGCCCTCTGCTCCAGAGGTTAAAAGACAATAGTTTAAACTTTAACCATATTGCACATGGGTACACGATTATATAAGTACAGAATAGAGATTTAAAATCTTTAGAGGAGCCACCCCAGCCATATAACATCTAAACAAGATACGATATCGACATATTTTGGCATTGGATATTTGGAAATACACAGAAAACCGAAACGCGATTAAACCTGACTGAATATGTCCCTTTTTTATCTATGGTGGCTTACTCTCTACCGTCTACTGGGACGGAATTTCGATACTCCTACTTATTGTCCAGATTTCCAGACAAAGTCCAACATATTTCTGGAAAATAATATATGGTTGGACCGTTTGATTATTAGCTATATATTATTGCTTCCATTACACAAAAATTAAAAGCACACATTCACATTAAAAAAGAAAGTGTTTGATGCATTTTTAAAACTAGATGTTTATGAGATTTATTAATTCCTAAAACCCTACATCTTATTATATTACTATTAATTACACATTTGAAATTTAATAATAAAGTGCACAATGTCGTTATTTGTTTTTTCTTTATATACGTGTATATTTCTTGAATTTGGGAAGCTATTAGATGTTACCAGAAAAACACGGGTATAAGCTGAATATATCATAAATTATGAATGTTATAATGATAAGGAAGTGAGATAGCGGGTTTAACTTCAGGCTATATTACGCAAGAAAAGAGTTAAACGCGTACGCATCAAGGGCGTTGGCTTTTTTGCTGTACTCTACATGTTTTAAACAACAATTAAATTGTCTCTAATTGTTATTTTTAGATTACCCCACTTTTTAAAGTGTTGAAAGCAAGCAAATATGTTTATGGAAACTTAGAGATATATATACTAATATATAGAGCTGACGAGTTTGTTTGTTTGTTTAAAATCGTTAATCTAAAGAACTACTGATTCGAAATGAAAAAAATATGTTGATTATATCATTTATTGACGAAACTTATAGGCTATAAAACAATGCGCTGACTAATAGGAGGTAAGAGACAGTCCTGAAATAATTTATCCTTGTGGGATTCCACGTACTGAAGGAATAATTTCTCTTTAAATTATGTAAAAAATGCCCGGGACATATTTTAAGATTTAACCGCAGAACGACGAGACGCGGTGGATAACAGCTTAAATTGATATAGTTGAACAGGTTCGCAAAAACGAAATTTCGATGCCCCAAATAACTATTCTACGTGGACGAAGTTGCTGACACAGCTAATATGACATAAATTGATCATAATATATCTTTAAGCTACTGGACAACATTTTATAACTTAAATAGTTTTTTACAAATTAATTCGTCTTGCAAAACTCATCTAGATACAGAAACCACTAGACTCCGGAGGTCGCGGTTACAACTTACAACTATCGCTAACCATAGAATAATTATAGTGCACAGCTTAGCTCCATCTTAATGAAATGCGACGAACTTTGGTAGCGCAAGTGACAAATTTATCATTAAACCAACCTTTGTGAAGCAATTTTATTAAAGATTAACGTAGTTTTATATATATATATTTTATTTAATATGAATTTAAGGTATAGCTTAATGGTTGCTTCTTAATGCAAATCTGATACTTGCTGTTACGTCATTTAAAATATCTAGTCAAAACCGGTTCTATAAGTAAAATTATTCGTAGACTGTAATTTAAAATTAGAATATAATTGAAATTGGATTTGCCTAGATAGAGCTTTTAGACTATGGACGCAAATAATAAGGAACCCTGTTAGAGAGAGCTATGAAAAATAGCTCATTCATCAGTAAAATAGAGTAGGCCATCTGGGAGTAGAAGATATTGGTAGCAGAAGGCCGAAAGTAGGACATTTGGAAGCACTGTAAAGCAATGAATACCTATTCTACGCAGACAAAGTCGCAAGCACAGCTAGTATCAAATATTGGACCTACATTATAGCCTATATAAGGCGGCAGATATCAGTGTAAATATCAAAAAAGTAGTAGACCAGTAGATACAATGTCAGTTGAGGTCGTTCGAACCGGTATAGCACCGTTACTGCGAAAATTATTGCCCCTGGCTGACTGTAATGTGAACACTGACACCCATGTGAAAATCTGGTTACGTTGTGGCTTTTCCTCTAAAAATTTTAATGGTGTCTTCATGCAATCGACAGTAATTTTAAAACAAGCAGTAAAGGGATTTTTTTACGCAAAAAATAACAGTTTGAATAGAAATAAAACGCTTATATTCTATAGTGAAATACCGTTACCCCCATGTGGGGCATGGGGCAAACACAGTGTCGGTTCCACTGATGAGTAAAACAATCTACCGTTTCCCCAACATTCGAACCCAAGAATAAACTATTTAAGGATTTAGCTACAGATGCGGTCAAATGCGATAATATAGTAAATGTTTTAATTTCATCTGGTAAAAGTTAAGGTACGATTTCGAAACCAGTAGGTACTGTGAGGCTCAGGTCCACAGTATTGTCTATGATTTTAGTATCTTTTTCTTCTCCTAGTAGCCACTCGCTATTTCACTTTTATAAAACATTCCAATCGAAATATATAAGTGAAAACCTTTAACGCGTATACAATTATTACTGACAACCTTCTTGTTGACTTTGAAGTATGACATTTTTAACAACGTACAAAACGTTTTTGAGTATGATTATTATGTAATTTGTATGGGAATCATTTAGTATATAGATTTATCTACCCAGCCCTTAAAAATATCTTATTGTCAAACTTTACGAATAATATTGTCCGTATTATTGTAGAAGTACACGCTTCAAAGAAAAAAAATAACGGTTTGAAAATCGAAACGCCTATATTGGTCAAATTATTTTTAATTTAATTTAACTACCGCCTGGCGTATCGGAAGCTTTAAGGAAGCCGGATCGGGGAGGGACTGAATATAGACGGTGTGCCAGTGTGGTATCTATATTTTTAAGTTAACTTAATTTTTGTGTCACGTCATTTTGATTTTGGTTCGGCTTGTTAAAACACTAGTATATATTATAAAAGAACAAAGGACGGAAAAACCAAAAATATAATACAATATTAAGAAAGTTACTTTTAAAAAAGTCGAATAGTTATGCATAAAAGTTTCGTAATTGACTGTGATTTATGCAAATATTATACCCATTGCGTAAACACAAAGTGAAACGATGGAGTTTCCATTCAGGAATCAAACTCATTAACGACTATAAATAAACACATTAATATTTTAATTAATTAACCAGTTTGTTGCTTTTCAACTCACGAAACTCTTTAAAGGAATTTTTATTACGACTCAAATATTGGTAAATATAACGGTATAATCACTCTAGAGTTTATTTATGTTAATACACTTAAATTATATACATAATAATAATAATAAAATAGCACATAATTGCAAAAAAATGTACAACATCGATGTACAAACGACAGTTTAAAATATAAAGTAAAATCACATTGGTTATTCTGACCTCATTTCACCGAAAATTTTTATTTGTTCCACAATGATAATTATACGCAAAACTTAAGGTCGAGAACCGTAACACCAATAAAACAAGGAAAACCACTTGCACTAAAAGAAGCCTTTTAAAATTCACGACTCAATGTTACCACAACTGTTATTTTATTGCTAAACCTTAAATGATAAATATTTTATATCTTACCTATTACTCCAAACAGACATAATATTCCACCAAATAACCAGTGACTTATCTTCATTTTAACAGTCGCACTTTCACTAATAAACTATAACATTACTATCAATGATAACTAAATATTTAACATTTCGTGTACACTGTTCAACAAAATACTAACGCCACTGTCGTAAATTCCCGCCAAAATGAAATGGCGTTAACAATTTTTTTTAAAACAATTCCGCTCGAAAGGCAAACGTCAACTGCACGTCTGCGCTGGGTGACCACGCGGCCTACCACCCGATGCCAAACGGACCTGTTACTCGACCGATTTAAAAGTAAATTAATTATAATGAAACATCGAGTATCGAATCCACAACCGTATTGAACAGGCTAACGGCCGGTTATTTTACTAGAAACGAAGTTGGAAAACTGGCTTAGAAATGATTAACATTGAACTCTTACTAAGTATGCGGTATGTACCCTGCTTGTAATTGAGTAATGCGTGAGGTGTAAATTGTTAACGTAATACCTAATTACCAAATGGTTTAATTGAAATCGCGTTTTATTTATTTATTAGATACGTATTTGCATTTAACAATTATGAATAGAGATGATCTATAATTATGTATATTTTTAATATGTCGTCCTTTTTAATTCGTTTATTAAAATTATATTGATGAAAAAATATTATAAATAATTTCATACGTAGTTGACAATTAATATTCATAATGAATCCTATGTTTATTAGTTTACAATAACATAAAAATATAAATGGATTTACTTTAATAGTACACAAAAACTTCCACCGTTCAATACATTTGCAAACAGCGCACTCTGTATTTTTATTTCTTAACTAATGTCACAACCGTATCAATGTTATTACGATACAAATGTATTTAAAGTTATTCGCGAGATGTCGTGATTGAAAATTTGTTGTTTGTATAATGAAGTTGTTAATATTGTTTTAAACCAATAAACTGTTGTTTTCTTTTTATTGAGTAGTTGATTGTATCTTCTTTGTGACCATCTTATTCATCTTATGATAAGGGTTGCCATTATATTCAAACGGTAATAGGACGATTTGACAACTTGACTTGACATTTGTCTGCCACCCGCCGTCCATATGTCGTTGGCCAATCGTTGGCAGTGAACGGAACGAAGCGCTGCGCGTTGTATAGATCGGCTGGCCGTCTGGCTGAAAATAGTGAACGAAGTATGAGTTTTCAAAATATGTTCGAATAAAAAAGTGAATACAGTGAGTGACTGTCATCCAGCAAGATGGTTGATGACGTGAAAGATATTACGGAAAAAGCTGAAAGTAAAGGTATTGTGTGTTTTTAAATCGATACGTGATGTTTTAGTGTGAAATGTGATCAAAACCGTCTAACCCTAAACGGCGTCGTGGCCCCACGTAGTGAATTCGTGTTCAGCTTTCGAGAACGTCCGCAGTGGGTTGTGGCCGATGCAGGCTGTTTTGTTTTTCATCTGCATTTGGACGTCTTTTGACGTCGTGGTATGTTCTATAATTAGCGGAACGTCTGCCAGACGGTGTGAAGTGCGCAGGAATGCGATATGTACGTAGGGGGTATGGACCTCTAGTTATTTGGTTACCGATGGTGCGTTTTTGCCGGATCCCTGACGTACTTACCGTTACGCGGTCTGTATTCCTTGCCCTATTATTTAGTCGCGAGTAATATGCAAATTAATATCGAATGATCTGTTTTTGAGTCATATTCATTATCAATGTTTGACTGACGTAAGTTGATATTCGTATGTTGCACTTGTATATTTTCGCAAACGGAACACACTTGTGACCTTTCTCTTTTATCTTATCTAATTTTTATCGCCTTAAGACATATGATAAGATCATAATGTTTTTGCTTAATATGTACATGGACATTTAATTATAATACAAACATGAACACATACCTTGTACAGACAAGATACAAAAACGTGTTTTGACATTTTTACATAAGAAAACATGAGTTAATTTTTGACTACATCTACAGAAAAAGAAGATAGAAGTTTTGTTATTGTATAAACAGTTTTAAACAACTTTAAGATGAAAATAATTAGAGATACCACAATTTTAGGCTATGCAAAGAAACAACCTAGATTAATTGAAGGTCATGCAATGTAGTACACTAGATAACTGACACTATTAATATTGAATCAACAATTAAAGGAGATGACGAACATGTGTGTGTAAAACATAACATTTCAGTAAGCTATTAATATTATTAATTTTTATTTGGGATATGGAAAGACAGCTGGGTGATTATTTTTCATCAACTGCTGACACATTTACCCTTTTGATTTACCTTTTTGATTACCCTAATGATGTTTTACGGACTTATTTCGCTGTGTACCTTCGGAACATCCTGTTTCTTTACAAAATCTTACTAACTTTTCCATCTTTATTTATTCATACTAGAGTGAAGTTTTGGCTAAAACAACATGTTGTTGATAAATAAACAAACAATAATAATAATACTATACATTTATAGTTCTTTGTGACTCAACAGATACTAAATACCTGTCCAAGTTTTAAACTATTTATAGGCTAATTCATTATTTTAAATATTTTGTCATTAATACCTCATTCGGTTACTGTGAGTCAATGTGTGGGTTGAATGTATTATTTGATCTTATAAAAGACTTCAAATTTATGGAAATTTTCAATAAACTACCTACATACTTTTCTATGTGGGATTTTTTATTACTTATATGATATGTACTTACACAGTAGCATAAAGTAGTCTACACTTTGATTGGCAATGAAAAACAAAAATAATCTTATTATTAAATTTCTTTCTTGAGGGGACACTGATAGAAAGCCGGGTGGTCGATTAGTTCACATTGGCCGTTGGCTATTCCACCCATTTTTCCTTTCCAGCTTGGCGGAAGTTTTTCAGTTTATCCAACTCTCACTGCTTTCCCTTCAAACATTTTTGTTTCTCTACATTTTTAGTGTCTGTTTCATCTTTATTTCTTTCATCTCATCTGTATTTATGTTGTTACTTCCCATATGTGTGTGTCTTAGTTAGAACATACGTGATACAAGTACATTGAGCAAAATAATCTTAATTTTAATTCCAAATGCTTCCTAGTGTTTCAGCAGTAAGTCTTTTTGAAACAAAAAATTTAATTGTCTAGAGTTATTGCAGAAAACTCAATAAACACCTGTTCATTAACAAAACGCATTTATGCACAATTTAATGACAGATGCGGAATGCTGAATGCATGACAAATGTAAGTGAATATTTTTATAATGAGTTTGAGATGCATATATAGACTTTTAGATATATACCTACTTATGTATAGTAGAGAAAATATTGCTACAATTTTTATGCACCTAGTTAAACAATTGTTTCAACCTATTCAATAATAAAAAGATTAAGATTTTTATCCTTTTAATAGTAATATGAACAACATTAATACTACAAGTCTAAATTGATTTTTGTTTATTTGATTTATATTTCATCTATCAATACATTATTGTAATTACATAAGATTACCTTGGTTTTTTCTTACGGTTCATATTAAGTAGCTATCTTTCTGACATATTGAATATTTCAATTAAAGATAGGCCCTTGACAAAAATGCATCACTAACCCTGTGTGGGTTCTACTTCAGCATAAGTAATAAAGTTTACACTAAAATATAACTCAACTACTTGAAAGTCTAAAGTATGAGAAATCTTAAGCACAAGACAATTTCTACCCAAGAAAGTTTCATTGACACTGAATGCATAATTTATAATGCACAGTCATAAGTTGCAGCTTATTGTCTAAATAAGAGAATGTTTTAATGTAGGAATTTTAAACAATATTTTTATATATAGATTTAATTAATGTTTATTATATCTACATAATGACCGCCCCTGTAGCTCAATGGTTAAATGCGTTGCTTAGCATTGCATTGCAACAGTAATTTGACTGGGTCGGGCAGGGCACTGAAGTCTGATCACCTAATTGCCTGTAAATAAAAGCGATCTGTGTAATGGACACACAAATAACGGGTTTGCCCTGTGCCCCACGAGGGGAAACTCATATCTACATGATAAGTATAGTTACAGTCTACAAATTTAATCATAAATAAATTTGTCCAACAACAATAATAATAAAAACAAGTAACACAAATTCCATTTGGTTGATAAGTTTTAATTTGTAATGTTTGAATTTTTAAAGGTTGTTACTTGAGTCATAAGGCCCTGCTTGTTTGATCATCATTACCTCATTTTCAATCCTTAGTATACCGACAATTTTCTTATCACATATTATGTAATATAGATATAATATTTTCGGCGTATACATTAATATATATAAACGGTAGCAAGGACAAACGCTTGCATGTGGCTAAGCCAGTCTCATCTAGTATGAACTTACCGCATAAGGGCGCAAGACAGTCATTATTTATCTCGGCCCATTTACTTGAATCATCTCATCTAGCCTTATACAAGCGCGATCACTATGTACATGCCATACATACAATTATACATATACGATTTATTATTTACTTACACTTTGTAGGCACGTCTCAATTATTTTGGCATTCGATCTTCAAAATACGGTGTTTCCTTTACAATAACTTTATGCAATATTTCCGATACTGTTTCCTAATATGCCTACTTAGGGTTGACTTATATTTAATATTATATTGTGAAACACAAATCTACCACGATACCTAAGTCTTCTTTTTCTCATTCCTAATATCTTACACTACTTTTTTACCATATCTAATGCTTTTCGCGCAATTTTTATGGTCATTAAGTTCAGTGTTGTATATTAAATAACTTTCATATTGATGCTAGATGCCGAACCAACGACCTTATAATTAAAATTCTACAGCTTTTTTTATGATAGAGGAGGACACAGAAGCTTGACGTTCACTTAATGACGCCGCCATATAACATCTAAACAAGATGTGCTATCGACGTGTCTTGGCTTCTGGTTAGTCGGAAATCCATAGATTAAAAACCATACAAATTCATACAGCTTTTTCATCTTTGATCGGTGCTTCTTAACCCAGACGAATTTCCAAAATTCCTACCATCCAGATTTCTAAACGAAGTTTTAGAAAAATTCAAACCCACGACCCGTTGGTTATAAGTAAACATTGCTACTATTACACCAACGAGCCCGTCGAATATGCGGTAATTTCCTTAGCTGATTTTAACCTAAACGTTTCTGCAGGTTTTTCTTATATTGAGATCGTAGTAGACGAACAAAGTAGTCTTTATGGGTGTTATTGCGTGTCGGCGTTCTATTATTAACTTACTACGTCCGTTTTCTATTCATGAGATCCTTTCGTTTCATAGATACGCATTATTATGAAGGGCAGTGCTACGGTTTATGTTTAAAATATCTCTAGGCCTTCGCTTATTTGATACAAGTGTAATATTGTTTTGCTCAAACGCTATAAAGTATTTAAATTATCAGTACTTCACCATTGCTTATAGCTTGACAATGGTCTATTAATTTCTGAACTTTAAGTACTTTATAGTTACTTAAAGGAATAATATTCCTTGCTTTATTGTTAAAGTGGCAAACATTTCTATGTAAGGATCGCTTTATTTATATTCAGCCCAAACCACTGAAGTAACGCACCATATTTACCAGTTCAATGCTAGTAATTAAATACCTACGATTGTTCAGGTCATGAAACTATAAAAAAAGGAACGTGTAGCTGAAAATATCTGAAACAAAGAATAGAAGCGCGAGATATTGTATTAGTAAATAAAGTAAATTCAGAATTGTACCAGAAACGAAGGTATAATTTTAACGCCCTCACTTGCCTACTCACCTATTCGAGATTGATTGATGCCTTAAGGGCCAAAGTTTTCAAGGTCAAATGCAAAACAGATGTTTTTTCTCAAGCGACGACCTTGAACTAAAGTAGTCTTGCAAGACCATTATCGATTTGCTCTCAGCTCTCTGAAATATTCCGTATCTTAGAAATCTATACGTAACACATTAGTAATGCTAAATGCAGTGTAGTGAGTACATTCTTGTTAACTTGTTTTGTGTATAAACACGTTTACAAAGTACTACGTATAACAATTATGGGCCACTGGCTTCACGCGTCTTGGAGTACTAACTATGTACTATTTTCGTTATCCAAGATATTGTTTAAATAAGACACTTTTAACGGATTAAAACGTGAAATTTTAATACATACCTCATTTTTATTTACATCACAACGGGTGCTGTGTGCTAAGTTAACTAATATATTTCGTGTTTTTGTTTAACCTAAACTTTGTGTTTTATTTAAATATGTATAACTTGCCTAAACTACAGACTTAAAGTAGGTCGCCAATTAATT